GCTGCTGGGCCCACAGAGACGGCTTACGGTGGGAAATGGAAACAATTTTCTTATGGTCCCACAAGCCTTACGCATCTCTTTGTCATTTGAGGACACTGAATGAGTTATATGTAACCCGATTTGTTCTAAAGTGATCAGCTCATTGTCGGTACCTGATTATATTTAGAGCTGTGGAAGAACAGCGAAGAAGGAACAAGAGTATAGAAGAGAAATCTCAGAGTTCCTGGCCATCCCCGCCTGCCTCCATCACCACCTGCACGCAGGCACCCCTGTGGCCAGCCGGTGTCCCCCGGAAAGACAAGACAACCGACCTCCCTCTCCTCAGGTTAGTGTGCTCACTGCGAACCTCAGCGGGGGCTAGCTGTTTCAGGGTGGTGCTGGCCCCGCCTCCTCAGATTGCTCTAGGTTTTTTAGACAAAGCTTGTCCACCAGCTTGAGGGTGAGTCTGGGGTGGGGGCACCGCTATAACTGGCACCCAAGGATTCATTATCTGCTTTCCCATCTCCTTTCACCTCATGGAGACTTTTTCTGGCTGAAAGGGATTGCTTTTGCCTCCAGCCACTGAGCGTTCACATGGTTTTGTGCTCCCCAAACAATTTTTCCATTTGCCCAGCACACACGTTATGACAGACCTAAGCTGAGTTTCCGGATAAGGAAGTGTTTACGGCTTTGCAAGCCCATGGCCGGCCACCAGAAATGCGCCCGAGAGCAGTTTACCACGTTCTAGTGATCCCCTTACACCTCAAAGGAGCCTGGACAGCGTCAGCATCTAAGATGGAAACACGATAGTGCATCTGTCACTGAGCCCTCCTCCGAGGCTCGCAGACCGCTAAGAAGAGGGAGCCAGCTGAGATTCTGGAGAGCCGGGTGTGGACAGAGCCAGGAAGAGGCACGTGGCTGTGTTTAGGGGAACAGGGTGGGCAATGCCTCCGAGTGACAGGTGTATTGTATGCAAGTGTGCGGGCAGGCGCCTGGGTGGTTCTGGATTTCGGCTGTGGGTGTGTGTGATTCGCGTGGGCTCAGTCGGTGAACGGAATCCGTGTATGGGGAAGAGGCTGGGTGTGCGGATGAGTCATATCTCTTGGGGCGTGGGTGGGTTTATTTGTAGGGGGTAGCTTTTGGTCTGAGGGGTTCTGTGTACATGGCATCCAAGGGGAAATATTTACCGGTGCTGCAAAGTGCCACTGTCCAGCGGGCAGCGCGCTTAGGCTGGGTGCGGTCTGCGCCTGGATGGACCCTGTTCTCACATGCCTGTGACTATGCTTCTAAGTTGTTTTACCCCAAAATGAGCACAGAGAGAAAGGAAGGAACAAGGAGGGATTTTCCCCCCAAGGAAGTCTGGAGGAAGCGGTGTAACAGGTACGCACTCGGGCTGTGGACCTCCAAGCACAGAGCCTGGCTCAGCCTTGTAGAGCCGGCAGCGCTCAGAGCCTCCGTTTCCTCTGTGTAAAATGAGAGCAGCGATGAGATCGGCCCCATAGAGGGGCGAGAGCTCCCGTGTGTCAGTCAGTGTGCATGCCTGCTGCACAGGTGCACACTATCACTGCTTTATTACTATGACTGTTACTATCATCGTTATGATGAACTCCACTATCACTGTCACCATCAGTATTGTTATCAACGCCCAGCTCCTGGGGATGTTCACTGTACGTTAACACCCATCAATGCGTGTGAAGGAAAACAAGAAATGACAGTCAATGATAATACATGTTTAGGAAGAGAGCTCGCAGCACCAGGAAAGGCTCGCCAGAACTGGAGCGTGTCCTTCGGGCCCAGGCCCCACGCCAGGAAGCTCCTTAAAACCAGGGAAGAGCAGGTGGTGTGGAGATGTCTGGGGAACGCTGGGTCTTCTCCCTCCAGAACTGATGGGGAAAGGCTGACCTGGCGCTGAACTTGGCCTTCTAGCCTCCTAAGCTAGAAGAGATACAAACCATGGGGACAGTGAATGCTTCTATTGCTGGAACCACGCCCATCACTGCACCCTGCAGTGACCCCAGGTGCGTCACAGGAGACCTGGGGTCCACAGGGTTTCAACAACTGGTTTTTTGGATGATCTCTAGGCCTGTCTGGCAAGGCTCATCAGGGTGGGCACAGACCATCAACCCTGGGGTGGGCAGCCATGCCAGAGAGTCGTCCTTTGCTTTGTGAGCACTGTGAGAGCCCTCTGTACAGGCGAGGAGAACAGAGAGGTGAGGCAGCCTGCCAGAGGCCACAGAGAAGGCGGTGGCAGAGCCAGGACGGAAAGCAGGCTGACAAGCCCAGCTGACCCAGCAGGCGGCAGGGCGCACTATGGACCCCTCATGGCTGCCCCCTGCCCATCGATGAGCAGCACCTGCTCATGCCCAGGTGAGGTGAACCTGGGGAGAAGAGCTGGCAGGGTGAGCCCATGGAGATGGCTAGGGCGGAATGCAGGCAGCTCCTGCGTTAGTCAGAACCAGAGTTCCTCAAGTCAGCACAACGGGCGGCCTCTGGCTGGGATTTTGTCTACACCGGCCCCTTTGTGCAAAGGAAGAGTCGGCCTGAAGTTGGAGCCCTGAACACAGACACATTCTCTGTCACTAGCCACCCGCTGACTGAGGACACAGTGGCGGACGACCCCCCTCACCCCCACCCCAGTCTGGCTCTGCTGTCCGACAGACAGTTCGAGGGTGCTTTCTCGCTAGTCATCTCCCTTCTAATGGGAAGCAGGACAGTTCCTGGGGCCTGGGCGCCCAGGCCAGAAGGGTCAATTCAATTTCCTGTCAGGCCGCAGCGCCATCCAGAAGGGTGTGGCCACCCAGAAGCCGGCATCTAAGTGCCTGCCTCAGTTCGCCCACTGGAGATGGAGGAGCTGAGGTCCCCTCACAGCAGAGGCGAGCTAAGCAGTGACGAGGGAGAACGGTCTGGGTACAGACCTCTGCCATCAACCAGGCGGGCCCTGGGCCAGTCCTGTGGGTTCAGGGGTCTCACTAGACTGTTCTGTAAAATGGTCACAGTCCTCACAGCAGCACCGTGCAGCAGGCACCTGTGACTGCATGGGAAGGGTGCGTTAGGGCCCAGAAACTCAGAGCTGTCTGGGTGGGGGGACAGGGACCCCAGGAAAGATTCTATGAGAATGGAAATTTCTCAAGCAATAGTGCAGACTTTGAGCAGACAGCCTGCCGCAGACCCAGATCCTCCAGCCCCTGGGTGCCCACATGCCTGGACCCCTCTGTCAAGCTGTAAGCTCCCTGAGGGCAGACCTAGCCGCCTGCTTCGTCCAGACGTGCCTTCCCAGACCCATGGCAGCCAGCACCCAGCCAACACTGGATAAGCATGTGCTGAATAAAGACATGGGTTCCAGGAGCCACGGAAGACCAGAGCAAGGTGCTAGGCGCCACTCTTAATTATCCCGGAGACTGCACAGAGGTTCGGGGCCTGGGGACCGCTCCCTTCACTGTGCTCCCTGTGGCTGCCCTGCCTTGTGGAGAGCTCTCCACTCCTGGGAGCATCCTCCAGCCTCCGGAGGTGGTGCTGAAAAGCAGTCCTGGGGGTGGCAGCTGCCCCCGGGTTCACAAACAGACCAGTTGGGAGTGCCAGGCCACTGTGGCCACCCACATCTGCTGGCCAGCACCATCCTGCCTGCACGCGTGCGCGCACGCACCCACCACACACACACACACACACACACACACACACACACACACACAGATGGCTGGCTGCTCCAGCCCGGCCCTCACCACGCCAGGCCAGGGGCTCCCCAACCTACTCCATGAAAACAACAGCCCGGAAAGGGCCACCTGGGACCAGGGCTGGGCAGGGCCTGCTAAGCAGAAGCCTTATATAATTAACTGCCCCCGACTCCGCCTCTCTGGGTAATAATGAACCCTGCCTTTCAGTTGCATAAGCCAAAATAATAATTACTCGCCATCCCTCTTTGCTCCGACTCTGGCCAGGGAGCAGGTGTTGAAGGCTTGCTTTGTGAGACTCAGAGGAAGCAGGTAGACTGAGAGTCACAGATCACAAGCACACAGGTCACTCACTGCCTGGCCCTCTGGCCCCCCTCCACCCTTCCACATCCACAGCACAGCCAAGCCCCCAGAGTGGAGTGGTGTGGAGTGGATGAGGCCTGAGAAGCCCTCCAGGGGACTGGCTCCGACAGGAGGTGGAAGCATCCTGAATGCTCGTCTGTTTAGGGTCTGGTTTCCAGGTGTGATGACAGCTCCATGCGCCTTGACTGCACCAAGGGGTGGACACTACAGCGTGCAGGTCCCCGGGGGAGGGGGTGCCAGGCCGACCATGGTTGGTGATCACTGCCCAGCGGCAAGGGAGGCAGCCCTGGCTCGGCCCCTGAACGTGGAGGCATCTGAGGATGGAGGCACAGAACCAGTAGGGAAAATGATTCAGCCACTTAGGGCTGAGGTTCCTGGGCACCCGCTAAACAGATGGGCCGCCCTCCCTCCAGCAGCCGCTTCCACAGCGCCAGCCCGCGTCCAACCACCTAGAAGTTTATTGCCTTGTTTTGGTTTGGGTGTGCATCCCCCCGCCTCCAGCGCCGGGAAGCACTCCCTTGCCATTGGCTTGGCTTGATTCAGGACCGGGGGAGGCCCGCAGGCTCTGCATGAAAACAAGAAGCCCAGGGGGGGCTGACCCCCGCAGCCACATCAAGGGGGGTTCCGCCAGCCAGGGGAGGGGGCTCTCAGCCAGCAATCCCCTCCTTGGCAGTCTGGAGGTGGCCAATGGCGCGGCCTGGCCTACCCGCAGGTCCCGGCCTGCTCTCACTGATGCTGGTGCCGGCTCGGCTCCACTCCCCAGGCCTCGCTCAGCTCCTAGAAAGCCTCCCACAGCCTCCAGCGGCACCAGGGCACCGGCCCCCACTGGGCAGCGGGGCAACCTGTAGCCAGGGGCCGAGGTGGCCTCCAAGGAGCCCCAGGAACCGCCCTGGGCGTCCACAGCCTAACTGGAGGGCGCAGCTCAACTTCCCCGGAGACCAGCGGCGGCAGCGGGAGAGGGAGCAGGCCCCGCGCGCGCAGGGCACCTACCTCCGTCCGAATACGTCTCGGTGCCATAACCGTCCTGCAGTCCGTTGCTCCAGGTGCCTTCGTACTTGGCCCCGTTGCCCGTGCACTCCCGCACCCCGTAGCGCCCCTTAAATCCGTGCGTCCACTCGCCTTTGTACACCCACTTCCCCTTGCTCTCCAGGCCGACGCCGTGGCGCTTGCCCTGCGCCCAGGTGCCCTGGTACGTGTTCCCGCTGGGCCAGGTGTAGACGCCCAGCACCTCGAAGCCGTTGCTCCACGAGCCGGTGTACTCTCCTTGGCCCTTGGGGCCGGTGCAGATCCCATGGCCGTGCGCCTTGCCGTCCTCCCAGCCTCCGCAGTAGGACCCGCCATCGTCAAAATTAAACCTGCCCCCACTGGACATGCATGAAACTCGGTCCGCAAATCCCGCAAACGGCGAAAATCGAGGGTGACACGGCGGCCGACGCACCGGGGTCTCCGCGGGCTGCGGGCTGCGTGGGGCTTTTGTTGTTGTTTTCCGAGGTGGCAGGGAGAAGCGGAAAATGCAGCGGCCAGCCCTCCGGGCCGCAGCGCCCGCTCCGCCGGAATTCAAGTCGATGGGGGCGGTTGTTCACGCCGCTGCGCCGCGGAGCCTGGCCGGCGTCTCGCGCTCCCGCGGAAACAGGAC